GGGGGGGCAGCAGCACAGAGCCCATACAAGTGCAGGGTCTGAAAAGTGTCGATAGGGGGCAGATAGATTACAAGAGGTGTTACTCCCTACAGTCCACTTCTCTACAAATCCTTCCATTGGAGAAAAGGTTCCCACTGGGTGGGTTGGCTGGAGGCCGAATTTTGGAACACATTGGCTGACTTGAGCATGAAAGAATAAGGATTAGTGTTTAGCAGAGAATGTCCACAGGTGCAGTATCGCAGATCCCATTCAGATAGAGGACCGCAATAGTGTACACAGAAGAGAGTAAAGATGGCAGGAGAGCCACGGAGGAGGGGGGGAGCGGTAGTAATTAAAGAAGGGTGAGCCGGCATGGTCTCGGGAAAGGGAAGAGAAGTCATAGAGAGTGTGTTGTGCTGCCATTTTCCTCTCCTTTCCTTCAATCCCTATTTATACTTCCTTTCATCAATTCTCCCTTCCCTTCAATCCCTATCTATACTTCCTTTCATCAGTTCTCCCTTCCTCCTCTTCCTTTCCTTCAATCCCTATCTATACTTCCTTTCATCAATTCTCCCTTCCTCCTCTTCCTTCAATCCCTATCTATACTTCCTTTCATCAATTTTCCCTTTCCTTCAATCCCTATCTATACTTCCTTTCATCAATTCTCCCTTCCTCCTCTTCCTTCAATCCCTATCTATACTTCCTTTCATCAATTCTCCCTTCCTCCTCTTCCTTCAATCCCTATCTATACTTCCTTTCATCAATTCTCCCTTCCTCCTCTTCCTTCAATCCCTATCTATACTTCCTTTCATCAATTCTCCCTTCCTCCTCTTCCTTCAATCCCTATCTATACTTCCTTTCATCAATTCTCCCTTCCTCCTCTTCCTTCAATCCCTATCTATACTTCCTTTCATCAATTTTCCCTTCCTCCTCTTCCTTTCCTTCAATCCCTATCTATACTTCCTTTCATCAGTTCCCCCTTCCTCCTCTTCCTTCAATCCCTATCTTTACTTCCTTTCATCAATTCTCCCTTCTTCCTCCTCTCCCTCCCTTTCCCACGTGAGACGCGGTTAGAACACTCCGGGTGCATGAAATAAAATGACGTGCCGAGTCTTACAGTTGGTTTGCTTTCTGCAGGAGGAGGACCCTTGCTCTCTGCACGGAAGCAGCGGTCTCTCGGCAGAAGTCTGACACTCCCTCCGCTCAGTCAGAGCCGTAGCCCTCCAATCAGTGGGGAGCATGAGCTTCGCTGCTCGCACAGCTATAGGCCTGCCTTAAATAGGGGGCGTGTCGGACCTCTGCAGAGTGACCACTGCTTCCACACAGAGAACAAAGACCCGTATCTGCCGCAATTACCTCAATGACTGCAGGTATGGAGTTCTGGAGCCTTCGAGCTGGCTATGCTGTCTGGCAGGGGGTACCTGGATCACAGGACGGCCAGACGAGAGTAACCAATCCTCTTACAGGATTGTTACAGTGTTCACCTGCCAGTGTGTATTTAAAAACATAGGAGATGGGGGAAGGGCGAGGGGGCTCAGTAAAAACATAGGAGGTGGGGGAAGGGCAAGGGGGCTCAGTAAAAACATAGGAGGTGGGGGAAGGGCAAGGGGGCTCAGTAAAACCTCTACAAAGTGCCCAACCAAGCAGCGGTCTGGGACGGACATCCACCAGGAGGACATGGGAACTCTCCCGCACCGAGGGCGGACAACCAATCCTGGAAGTCTGTTGGATAGGGGACCCCATCCCCCACTTGACTGTGTTCTGTCCCAATGTATGGGATCCAGGGGTGACCCGAGGTACGGTGTAGCGAACCTCCGGCCCTCCAGCTGTGGGTGGAACTAAGAATCCCATGAGGCATTGCAAGATTCTCACAGCCACAGACATGACTCCAGAAGAGAGATGCATCATGGGATTTGTAGTATTACAGACGAAAAAAATGG